AACTTATTGTGGCCTATTGGGACACTGGAAAACCATATTTGCTTCCTTTCATAGTTTTGCAAGGATTTCAAATAAAACGCTTTTCTCAAACCCTCTTTAGGACATCTCGAAATGTAGAGCTTAACAATATTTACAATGCATTTATCCGCACATTCAACATTGGCATATGCCTTGCCCGTTCATGGAGCTACTTTTCTATGTTTTAACCCTCCTTGAAACGTTTTAGATACACCCTCGCTGTAAAGCAAATATTCCTTTCCTCTGTTATCACTGTGAAATGAAAAACTACTCATGCTCAAAAGCCTATGTTCAGAACCTGCTCGCAAGCCAAAATTAAGACCAATTAAGTAAAACACTGTCTGTAGTAAGGATTCCGGATCGTTAATGGCCAAAAAACCCTGCTCCCAAAGGTCACGTTCGACCTCAACAGGGATTACTTCAGCTTGCTTTGGCCTTATACCCACATTATTTTGAGCCGAACATTTCATTTCAACATCTAACGACTTTCTGACTTTTTCAAATTCTAAGCTCGAAAAAAAGTTAACACTTTGCCCTTTTAACTCTAGGTATTTTTGCAAACTACTGATTATTTCATACAGTGTTTTTCCAGGATACCTTTCTCCACCGTCTTTTCTTACTTCTGCGATGAACTGATGTAATACTTCGTTGAGGTCAACTTCTGGCATCATATGTATTTCTGACTTGTAAACCAAGAGAATTTTATCAACCAAACGCATTTCCCTTCCATCTTGAGAGATCTCCTGGCGCCATTGTGACCAAGCGTCGAACAGTCTGGATGCCCACATCGCTTTCCTCTTAGTATTTTCTGGGATGCTTCGCGAAGCCAACTCTATCATACTTTTACTGCTGCAAATCTCAAACCGGTCAGACGTATTCTGTTGCTCTATTGCAAAATATAAATAAATTCAAATATTAATCGCTATGATTAATGCTTGTTACTAACTTTTAAACAAAACTTAGCTAAGACAATTTTCACCTTTTCTATCCAACGTGCTTTTCCCAGGTGCATTACATCGCCGCTCACTGACACTGTCTATCTGATTTGGCCTTTCCAGTGAAATTCTCCGCTCTGCAAACAAATCCAATGACTGGGAAAGTATTCCATCCAGCCCATCGTCTTCCAAATCTAGACAGTCGCAATCCCAATCATTGGTCTTTTCAACTTCAAATTCATCGTCATATCCTTCTCCAAACAAACTAAAATCTCGCTTTCTCGAACCAGACATCCTCACTCCACAAATATCAATCAAGTAATAAAAAGGTAGCTGTTGAAAAAACACAGCCCAGGAATGCGCATACAAAACACAAATATGGTGTGAAAAATAATAGTACCACAACAATGAACTTGTAACTATCTTAATAGTTTTCTTTGTTCATAAACACCATAATGTGCATTAAGTCGGATAATACCCTCGCTCTCGGTATTATTAAAAATAATGACCTCGCGCTACGCGCTCGGTCATTATTTTTAATAATACATCGAGCTTGGGCATTATCCTATACATAACAAATGACTCTCATAAATTATTACCCTTTCTTTGCAGAATGGACGAGTGTCCTGCGCTGTTCGTATTTGTCCAAAGTTGAAGTGTGCGACCATAATGCAAGTTAAAGGAAAAGATTCCTGTTGTACACAGTGCCGAGGTAGAAACAATACATGCATAAAAGTTCATTTTTGGTTAAAACACAAAATAATATATTCAATAACTGTAAAAGAATAAAATATAATTATATGATAGAATGCAACCATATATTATATTATTAATTTTAGTTAACTTTCCAGGTTTCCCGCTTACGCCAATTGGTGGCTTATTTCAGTTTAAGCCTGCAGTAACTGTTCAAGGTAAGCACTTATAATTACATTCCTTTGAGATCCTACAAGCATATTTACGAAACATACAGTATCACTGCAGGCAATAATTGGAATTTTTGTACCCGGCGCAATACGTAAAATCTTGAGTATATAGCCAGTCCATTTAACTTAAAGAAGTTGTTTTATGTTTCCAGGTTCTTGCTTTGACAAAGGACGTTATTATAAAAACAAAGATATGTGGAATCCTTTAGTATCCACGTCAGAAACTAAAGCCTTCCAACAGCCAAACTGTGATCTCTGCGTTTGTCAAGTACGTTTAAGCATATCACTTTCGAGCATGCATGCCGTGTTTGTCCAGAATTAAAATGGACAAACACTTCATTGAAATAATCCAGTCTAAGTGGAAATGATGAAAGTCTAACAATGACGTCAGTCGCCACAAGCTGCACAAGACACAGTCTAAAGTTTGACTCCTTTTCAAACTCAGATATTATTAAATAAATATAAACCTCCCAAGGATTATATTCATTCGTAAGCATTTTTGTTGGGCTTAACTATAATGGAATGAAAAAATCCATTCCAGAAAGTGAAGGGGAGAGCGTCAGAGCGCATGTTAACCGATCTTTGTACGCTTCCTAATAACTAGCAACCGTTATCTAACATCTTTATCTAAGCGGAGCACATTTTATAATCCAAAAAGGGCATTTTCGTTTGAAAGAAGGGTCACCGGCCCCCAGGTTTCCACGGCCCTTACCGGTCCCAAGTGCCCCTCCCCCCCCCACCGGTTTCCGCGGCCCTTGAATCCCAAAAAGATGCCAGTCCGACCACAATTGACGCCGAATAGCTATTAATCATGTATCATGAATTGTAAAGAAAGAAAAATATGGCAAAAAGTGCGGGGGCGGGGGATGCGTCTTCCTCAGGCTTGGCGCCGTCTATGGGCTAATATACGCGGGTGGGCTTATATTCGGAATGGGCTGAACGTTAGTTACTTACTAATTTTATAAACCGTAATAATTTAATTTAAGAATTACGAACTCGCCAAAAAGGCTTTTCAGGTCCATTTACAATACATAGCTAAAACCTAGAATTATAACGTAACATTACATATATTACTCACTGAGATATTACTATATTAAAACAATTGAGGCATTGTCCCTATGGGGCAGTATCTCTGGGGCAGTGCCTATTATTGGTACTTTTATGCAAACCATCAAATATGAAAATTATTAATGGTGGTAAATTAATATTTTAATCTAGAAGACAGCAGTAAAATGTAACACAGTATCATGTCCAAAGTTGGAATGTGCTAATCCTATCCAAAGGCATGCAAATGATTGTTGCCAATCATGCCCAGGTAACTTGAGCACTCTGTATTGTATATAGGTGTGAATACAATATGCACCTTTGTGACAGGAGTTTCATTTCTACAATATAATTATATTTTCTGGTTATAATATAACTTCACATCATTTCAGTTTCACTTTCACTTTCACTCATGCGCGAGAGTGCAGGTTTTTTCGGGTACTCCGTCCTCTTAATTAATAACGAATGGCCCTCACTATATAGACCCGAATAGAGGAACAGTTTATCGATCTGTCAGAGCTATTCAGTATAAATTAAATTAGTTTACGTACTTTTAGTTTAAATGAATAGTGTTGACTAGTGATGCCAATACTAACTTACAGATATACTGTCCTTGCAGATAAACAAATGGTAGGGTCAACTACGAACCGTACTTTTCCTCAAAATACCACACTAAAGAAACCTACAGGTAACGATATAATTATACAGACAACAATGTCAAGTGCATGATCCTTTTCATTCAATGATCAGACCTGGAAAATAGTGGGATCTCGGGATCTTGAGGACACACATACGGAGAATCTTAAGGAATCATTATATCACACTTTTTTATCTGTCATCTGAGATTGTGAAGTGTTGTTCAATGTTCGAATTTGTCGTAATGTACGGTCAAATTTTCCATTGTTTTTACGCACTTTTGAGGAACATTTGGAAAAGGCAAATCCAGGATCGGAGGAACATTAAACACTTTTCTAGGTCTGTCTATATGATATATTATCATACGTACTTGCCAATATATTTTGCACTGAAATTTTGTTTCTATTTTAGATGTAAAGTTTCCAGATTGCAAATTTCTTTCAACAATATATAAACACAACAGCTCCTGGACTCCACAAATACCTGGGCATGATGATCCCAACAGCTGTGTGCGGTGCACGTGTGAGGTATTAATTAAACTTCTTGTCGGCAAGCTTGTGTAATTTCATCAAATTCAGATGAAATTAAGTTGTGATATATAAACGTGCTTTGCATGTACCTGGTCAGACCAGTTAGAACTGCAGTTTATTTAATGGGAAGATGTGGGGCAAGTTGGAAATCTGGGTAAAATGGACTTTGACCCAGGCTTGATCAATCTAACCCGAAGGCTTAAGCCGGTTTTCCATTAGGAGGAATTTTGCGCGCGGAGCGAAATTTTTCTTTGTCTTTTCCATTATCCTGGTCAATGACATATCCGGCCATTATCCTGGTAAACGGCAACAATCCATTCCAAATAGGCAACGGCCCGATGGGGGAAGGGGTCGGCGTCACCGCCAGATATAGATCTAATTATAGTAGTATAATAGATTAGGTCCAAACTTATCGGGTGTTGAGGATAATAAAGATAGATATGTGGAGATGTTCAAGGTGCGCCCTCATTACCCCATGCAATGTCTATGTCTATGTCAAGCAGCATCAATGCCTATGGTTAGCAATACGCGTGCAACGATTTACGTGGGAACGAGTGACAAAGTTGTGATGAAATGTGCCAAATGTACCAAGGGTCCATTCCTCCAATATGTATAGTTATCTCAATATAAATGTTTTTCTTCCTGAGTTGCATTTGGGATGAATATACTTCCAGTTTGAGTCTACCAAACATCCATGCCCTAACAGGACATCTACGGCGAACTCTTTAGAACTGACAGAGCTGCCAAGCATCGATAAATTGAATTCGTTAAGTTTTAATACCAGAAGTATTTTAATACTTAAAAGTATTCAATATTGTCCTTCTGACAACTCTACACTCAAAACACTATTACGAACTTTTTTTTATTCCCTCTTTCTATTTAGTTTTCTCGAATAAAATGTAATCGAAATGGATGTGTGAATGAAACAAGCTGCATTGGAAGATCGTGTTTAAGTAAGTAACTATATAAACTAAGTGCTGTAATCCTCATAAGGTATAGGGCTAAGGCGAAAACTAAGGGCGTCCCCATGCCGCTGCTACCACGTCCCTGCATGCTATTGAAAATGGTGATAAGTTTACTTCATTTACAAAACATGTCTCAGTTGATGAGAAGAACTGCATGGTGTCTGAATTTCGATCCTTTGTCCAAGAATTTAAAAAGAAAATTGCGGAGGGAAAATGTAATTCAGTGTCTAATATTATGCAACCATTACGGCAGAACGATCTTATAAACCGGATTTTATAATGTCTAAAATGTCCCAAGATAGGGTCCCATGCCTAATGGGCCCCTTCTTTCATCGTCACGCCGCTAAGCTAGAGTTTCAGTTGATCATGTGAAGATTGAAATTACGTACGCTAGTAAATAGCATTAGTGGTCGAAGCAGTCCTGTAAATAAATCAGTTCATTAACATCAGAATAACTTTATCATGAACGGTCCATGACAATTGAAGGTGACGATAATCTCTGTTTTCAGATACTCGAGGAGTTAAAACCTCTACCAGGCTCAACTCTGACAAACGCTTGTGTAGTTCAGGGGACAGAATTGAAGTTTATCTATTCGTAAATGAAAACTCCAAAAGAATGAGAGCAAAACAAAACTATATTGCACGAATTGCTATCATTAGTCCAAAGGAATCATTTGTTAAGGTTCATTTTTGGGACGTTGCTGGTAACAGAGCCACGATAAAGTCGTCCAAGCCAAGAAAGACTCGGTTTCGAAGGCGAAAGGCAAACTACGTGAAAATGGGTGAAACTAAGATTGGTAAGTATACGTGTAAGAGTGGTCCAAGGATCATGCATGGTATTGTTGACATTTTGGGTATGGAATGTTCCAATTTAACTTATAGATCGAATCTGAAATCACATGGTTCCGAGTAGCGTGTGTGTAACAATAAGCTTCCGCAAGTAGCGCAAGAATAAGTTTCCATCATAGAATAATTGGCACAAGTATGGTGAAAACAACCTCAAACGATTACTTAAACTACAGCAAAACCTTTCCTAGCCTCCATCTCACGTTCACCACTGAAAGTTGTAATTAATGTAGAACAATAATTTAACATTGATCGATAGGTAACCTATATCAATTCGCAGCTTTCTTTTTGATCGGTGGGGCAGGGAGTGGTCGAATGATATATGTGTAATAATTTGAAGGAGTTGGAAGTAATAATCTTTGGAAGCTGCATGCCGATAATTCAATATGTGTGTTGGTTTGTGGAAAACACCACGTTGAATATATTCTATGGTTTGAGCATCTAGACAGTAACAATACTAAATTTGAACATAGAAAGGTGTGTCTGAGAATAAAGACATGTATTGTAGTTCTCAAGTTTGTGTATTCGGAAAGTAGCTGAATTTCCCAACGTCAACAAGAATCGATTTCTTTTCTTAGGACGAATCAATCGTTTCCTCAACAAAGAGAAAACGCTCGAGAAATGCAGCCGTAAATGCAAGAATAAAGCAAGAGACTTTATTAACATTTTGAAAAACCGTGTCAGATATTTGAAGACATCATCATGTAGATCTATTGATCTCTTCAGAAGTTTGAAGCCTAGCCTACCGTGATGGAATTAGCAAGATCTATTGTACTCGTGAACATTACAGCTTTGTTGTTGCATAACGTTCACTAGATGTATAGGTATATACACCTCATAACTGTATAGTATATCTCCGTATGTATGTATAGTATTAGATAAAATTGGATATAACCATAGGCATATAGGTCCGCTTTTGTGGTTACGCAAGGAGTTCATTCGTAGACACGTTTTAGTATTTGAAATACAAGCATAAATCTAAAACATAATTACAACAGGCCTGTCCTTACGTACACATGCAGGAAATCTGATCTGTCACACGCATTCAACATAAAGCTTTTCAAAAACTTGTATGTATCACGATCACATGGTGTTATTTTGTCAATTTGCAACAGGATTGACCCTCACTATACTTATTAAAAAGTTGTTGATTTGCAGGACGATAACAAGTTGTAGGAAGATAACAACACGGGGGAGCTTAGGCGGCAACAATTGGGGGATAGAGGGGACCTGCCCACCCCAGTTTACATGTTAAGCGAGCCCTGTGGCCCCTGTTATTCAGCGCCACCTCGACCTTGCAAGTCAGGGTCTTGAACATGGGACCAGCAGTCAATATAGGCCGTCGGATGAGGGTCGAAAATGTTCAATTCCGTAGCACCCCTCGTGTAACTACATAATTTTTACATGAATGGATAGATTAGAACTTACTTAGTTAGAATCCACTTCCCCCCAAGCGAAATAGTTGCACAAATTGAAGTACAACCTCTCCAAAGTTCATGCTTCGTCGTATTTCGAAATCCGTGAACCGCCATTGTTGTGTTGCAAATGCGCATGCGCTTGACCACAAAACACTTAATGCGCACGCGCAGATAAAAACTGATCTCAATCCAGAACTGGAGAAACCTGGACAAGAAAAAAATATGAAATGTGCGAAAGAAGGGCTGAAGTGAAACAAGATGACGTCGGAGTGTTTTAAAAATATATGATATTTTTTATGTTTTGTGCATTTTAATGGTTTTTTCCAAACATTCTGAGTAATTTACCGTGTCGAGCCCTGGCCAGGAACACTTCCAAGCCAACATTACAATAACTTATTCAAAATATGATGTTATTTTATACTGCAGCAATTGCATGACGTTCGCAAGCGAATCTGTTTTTCAGGCTTTAAATATTATCATAATCATAAACATTCCGGGCCGAACACAGCGGGGAGACAGGGAGCAACTGCCCCCCCCCCCCACCTAGAGAAAACTATATTTACGGCTTTTAGAATGTCATTATATTAATTATTCTTCGAATATTTGAGACTTTTTTCGGCATATAGGCCATACTTCCCCCCTGGTGAAAAAATTCTGCGTACGGCCCTGTAAACATCTAGAACACGCATATCGTTATTTATCAATTTTTAGGGGGGGTTTGATCTATGGTTTGCACGTTTTATTCCCTTTAAATATGCAACATCGGGTACTGTGATTTTCATTAAAATATCATAATTATCTTTCAAATACAATACTTTCATGCTTCACGATTTTATTCATTAATCTCACTCAATTAAATTTAAATATGTTGCCCAACAGCATTAAGACGAAAATCGGAACAAGACCAACAAATTACCTGACTCAGACTGAGTAATTTGCTCTTTATCAAAACATCACTGCTCTCCAAAATGTCTTCAGTGAAACCGTCTTCAGTACTCTGACTCGATCCAAACGTTACCCACCATGATCATCATCATCATCACTATCATCATCACCATCGCTGAGTGGTTATATTATTACCTGAAACAAACAAGCCGAAACTCGACGTTTCGAGCAAAGGCCCTTCGTCAAGAGTTAGTAGCCTTCGCTCGGAACGTCGAGTTTCTGCTCGTTTATTTCAGATAGTAATATAACCACTCAGCACAGAAATTTCACATTGGTACTACCACTCTGGTACAGACCGTTTCTGTTTTCCATCGCCTTTGATCTTCAAATAATTAGGGTAAACATGTTATCTAATTAACTGCATGAAGTCGCAAATCGGAACAAAGGCCAACAGATGATTAACACGATGTGGGTATATAGGTTTCTCGCTCAACCTGAACTCGGAATCTTTCTTTCAGCTGGTTGAAAGAAACTTTTTACTTACACTGTGTTATTCCTACAACCTCGATCTATACTGGACCCCCACCTTGTTCAAGTTATTACAACAGATGATTACCTGATCTTATCTAACCATCACTGCTCTTCGAAAATTTTAGCAGCGATATGTTATATAAAACTTCTCCGAGTTCAAACTTAGAGAAATCTTTTTACCCACATCGTGTTAATCATCTGTTAGCCTTTGTTGCGATTTGCGACTATATGTTGTTAGATTACATATTTACCCTGATTGTTTGAAGATCAATGGCAATGGAAAACAGATGATAATGGACAACTTTTGTAGTCAGAGCGGATGACGGCACGATGACGGTTTCGCTGAAAACATTTTTACAAGCGTAGCCAGGTTGGGGGTCGGGGGGGGCGCCTCCCTGGTAAAATTTTGGCGCTCCCTGAGAAAATTTATTCTATAAAAAGAAGTGAAACATGGCCCCACCTAGGTTTTTGCTGCCTCCCTCACCAAAAATCCTGACTACGCTTCTGGACATTTTGGAGAGAAGTGATGTTTTGATAAAGAGCAAATTACTCAGTCTGAGTTGGGTGATCTGTTGATCTTGTTCCGATTTGCGTCTTAATGCTGTTGGATGACATATTTAAATTTACTTGAGTGAGAATGGACAGTGTTCTGCGGAAAAAACAGTATGTAACCAGTCACTGAAAAACTCTGATAGGGAGTCGGTGCTGTGCAATACTCCTGTGTCTATCTGTAAAAGCTGTTAATGCTAATTAGATAAGACGGGAACTCCCTTTCTCTTGGTATGTGCGCGTCGTATGCGCAAGTTATTAGGGAGTTTAAGCTTCATGCGTTTGCGAGAACAGCAAGACCGACTTTTCTTGGCATAATGTTCGTTCGATTTCTGCGTGTCATATTTTCTTCTATATGGCACAAGAATAGTTAAGCATTCTAGTTATAAAACAACAAGCCCATTTACTTTTTATTGCTTTATAGCGTAAATTTTTTCTTTGCCTGGCGTTTGTCGTTGAATGCGAAGCTTAAGCTCTCTAATATAATTAGATTGCAAACGTCACGCAATGCTGTTGCATAACAATACCTCCTACAACCTACTAAGCTGTTTCCTTCTTTGTTTTTCTGATGAACTGAGAATTTTTTATGGCACAAATATATTGGATTGGCGAAAAGGCGTTCGTGATAAAGAAGTGCATGATCAACAACATAACACGACTGTTTGAACACGAAATTGGTTGATACAAAAACCGAGTGCGTAATGAAGTTCCAGTCAGCTTAGAGTTAACCTCGGTTCTTTCTCATTAATGGACTAGATGCAAAGGAAATAATAAACAACGACCCTGGACTAATAAAATTGACAGGAAAAGATCTAGAAAATAAATAAGATTGTGAACACCAAGTAAAACTCATATTTAGCAACCCCCCCTATTCCCCACACCTTTTTCCTGTAACCAATTAATTAATGTATAAAATCGTGAAGCATGAAAGTATTGTATTTGAAAGATAATTAATTAATTATGATATTTTAGACTCTTTGTACATATTAGAATTACCCCTCCCCCCTATTAAAATGATAGAGAAATTACGGTATGCGTGATCTAGAATGTTTAGGATTATGATAATATTTAAAGCCTGAAAACAGATTCGCTTGCAAACGTCATGCAATTGCTGTAGTATAAAATAAGTTAACTAAAAAAAAAAATTTGAATAAGTTGTTATTGTAATGTTGGCTTGGAAGTGTTCCTGGCCAGGGCTCGACACGGTAAATTGCTCAGAATGTTTGGAAAAAACCATTAAAATGCACAAAACATAAAAATATCATATATTTTTAAAACACTCCGACGTCATCTTGTTTCAGTTCAGCCCTTCTTTCGCACATTTCATATTTTTTTCTTGTCCAGGTTTCTCCAGTTCTGGATTGAGATCAGTTTTTATCTGCGCGTGCGCATTAAGTGTTTTGTGGTCAAGCGCATGCGCATTTGCAACACAACAATGGCGGTTCACGGATTTCGAAATACGACGAAGCATGAACTTTGGAGTGGTTGTACTTCAATTTGTGCAACTATTTCGCTTGGGGGGAAGTGGATTCTAACTAAGTAAGTTCTAATCTATCCATTCATGTAAAAATTAGTGTTACGGAAATCTGTTTTCTAAGCATATTTTCGACCCTCATCTCACGGCCTAATAGCGAAGAGCAAGTCTTGGTAGATTGAGTTCAGGCACCGTTGTAGTAAACGTTTAACAAACTTTGTTGTAAACCAAATGGCAAGAGTAAATGCCAGAATTGTAGAATAAATACAAAATTTTAACCAGTAAACTCTACCAATTTTTACGAATTCTATAGTCTGTTAAATCTATTTTAAACACAACGCTGCGTATTGTATAAACCAATAGTCAGCACGACAATCATTTCTCAAGCTAGACGTTCAAGAGATTTGCACGCAGGAAACTAGGTCCAACACGCCAGCCCACGTTGGGCATAGGCGTACGGGGCTGATGCTTTCCGAGTTGAAAGTTTGCCCGAATTTTTATGGAGGATTATAAAGAAATTAGGTGAATTTAACCTATTTTCTGATAAATCTTCCCGAATTTTCTTGATTTTTTTTAGCATTTGCCCGAATTTCCATGGTTTTCCAAAATTTGAGGGGGCAGTTGCCCCCCCCCCCCCTTGCCTCGTACGCCTATGTTTTTGGGTGACACACCGTATGGATGTATGACTCCGATCACATAGCAACGTTGACCGTTTTTCGGCATGTACATTCCAATGCATGTTGACCGTTTTTCGGTATAAATTTCATTGTTGTATAGCTAGCGTGAATAAATAAACAAAATGGCGGCACAACTCGCAAGTTTATAAACTACGATTTTCCAAGTCTGTGTTAAAATAAAGAATGTAAAAGAGAAGAAAAATACACAACGGGCAACAACAGTAAATGTTGCTGAAACCGTTTAAGTAGGTTCTTTTAATTTAAAATCGTTTACAGTAAAGAGTTTTTGACTTTTTGTCATAAATATATATATGTTGTATGTTCTTTCGTCGCTAAAAAAACAAAACACTTAATAGGGCCATTTATACGGAACAAAATAAGTCGCGACTTACATAAGACGCGACTTAAATAAGACGCAAGTTTGTCGTATAAAAGGTACAAAATTCTTATGTAAGACGCGTCTTGGGTAAGGGCAATTGCTAGATAGTATACTTCAAAATAAGATTTCCGTTTTTATTCTATTTTTAAAATAAGTTAGGGTTAGGTTAGGGTTTAGGTTAGGGTTAGGTTGGGGTTAGGGTTAGGTTTAGTATTAGGGTTTAGTTTTGCGTTAGGATAGTTTTTCCTACGTTATAAAAACGGAAACCTTATTTTGAAGTATACTATATCTAGCGATCACCCTTGGGTAAGACGCGACTTAAATAAGAACAGGATTTTTAGCTGTTCTTATTTAAGTCGCGTGACTCGCGTCTTAAATAAGACATTTTGGATAAAAAGTCTAACTGCACATGCCCGAAACTTGAAACAACGTAAAATTATTAGCCTTGCATATTAAAACAAAAACAATTACCAAAACAACATAGCTATAGCAAGTAATAAGACTGGAGCCGTAGAGAACCATTTATTCTATAACTCCGCTTATATAAGACGCGTCTTATGTAAGTCGCGACTTATTTTGTCCCGTATAAATGGCCCTAATGTCTGTTCCCTCGGTACATAGATATTGAGACTCTCGGGAAAACAAAAGTATTTCCCTGGGAAGCACACATTAAGTGTATATTATAAACACAACACAAAAAGAAAGTTCCCCTCTAAATATATCATCATAAGTTCTAAATAAATGATTACGTTACAATCAAACCTAAGAGTATAGTTAGACCTATGGTAGTTAGCTTTATGCTGTTTGAAGGAAGTTATGGTCACCTAACCAGCTAACCTCCAGTCCTCCATTGAATACATGCAGAAATACCCAATTTCAAAATTAACAAGAATTACTCTTTATTTAAATTTCACAACAACAGTAATGTTTCATCAATGATTTCATAATGGGTGTATAACCACCACGCTTCTGGATTACCTCAAGACAGTCATCGTCTCCTCATGTTCAGGAGTCTGCTTACATGCTTATACCTGCTGTTGAGATATATAGCCATCCATTTCTCCTGCAACGATTGAGCCAAGTCAGCCCGCGTGCAGTATTCTATGAACTGGCGATAGACATACCGCTTTTGCTGGTCCCGAAGATACTCAATTGGGTTGAGATCTGGCAAGTTTGAGGCCACATCATTCTCTTTCTGAGGAGACGATGCTGAATTAAGTTATTGAAAAGCGTGGTGTTTACACCCATTATGAAATCATTGATGAAACATTACTGTTGTTGTGAAATTTAAATAAAGTAATTCTTGTTAATTTCGAAATTGGGTATATTTCTGTATTCAATGGAGGACTGGAGGTTAGCTGGTTAGGTGACATAACTTCCTTCAAACAGCATAAAGCTAACTACCATAGGTCTAACTACTCCTAGGTTTGATTGTAACGTAATCATTTATTTAGAACTTATGATGATATATTTAGAGGGGAACTTTCTTTTTGTGTTGTGTTTAGTTAATAGTTTCATTTTATGTACATCGAAACACTACTCACTAGTTATTTCTTTTATTCTATGATAAATAATCATCGTCATTTTCATCACTTTCCTCGTCTGGTGCACACTATGATATAGAAAAGGAATAGAACGAACAAAATTATAATTTTGAAACAAATGATATAGCGATATTACATTTATCAGTTAAAAAAAACTTGAAAACGATGCACGCTGTAGCATCGAAATGTCGTTTAATAAATGTAATAGCGCTATCATTTGTTTCAAAATTATTTTCAAAAAAGGTTTTGATTAAAAGTATGATTGTTTGACAAGATCGAGTTTTAGACCAAGTAATGAATGAGTTGGATGGTGGTAGTAAAAATGAGCGATACTCAATGTGACATAGAACGCCACCTCAAACAGGTACAGTACGAAGGCAAAAACGTTGGTAAATGCAGGTACGGGTATATATTTTCCCATTGGTATAAGAAAATATACATCAAAAGTTGGTACACTGCATACTAATTATATTGTGGATAAAGGTAGGTTATAGCTTAATGGTTTGCGCTTGTAACATCCACAAATTGTAAAACTAGGAAGGGATATGCACCTACCAAGTACTCGACATAACACGTTTCTCCATCATCATTAATAATCATGTATTGCAGCGACAGAAATCCTCGATTGTCCATACGAATAGATATCTTGCTTGAGATATCTAGAGCTTTCGTTGAGGGCTTTAGAAGTGTAATCTTGTATCTATACGGAGAAGAGAGAAGCTTATCAGTCTTTATAATACAGCCATACTTTACAGTTTTTGTTGCAGGCATACGGAGGGAAACTAGCTTGACCATGCATGCACAATAAGGCCACCAACGACATAAACACTCGTACTATACAACTCTCAAGTCACGGCAATTAAAAAGTGGACAAAAGTTGGTATACGGAAACACGTTCACGCTTGTCTTATACATGCAAATCAACTAAAATTTCATGCACTAAAAATACACT